TCACCCACTTTCCTTTTTCAGTTTTCAGAAATTTCTCTTGTTTAATTGTAGAAATTACTAGTCATGGCAGTCACACTGCAAAATATTTTTTTTTGGCATCAATTGTTTCAAGAAGATTTTTTCAAATGAGTTAAAATGCAAAATAAAAACTACAGAGTTTCCAATAAGTGGAACGGTTCGGTGGATTTTTTTTGTCTGTTTCCACTGCTTAAAGTTAACAAAAACTAAACCGTACCATACCACATTTGAGAACCCCACCCAAAGGGTACCCAGTACCTTAAAGGGTCACGAAACACCAAAACACATTTTTTGAGCTGTTGACAGTCGTATATGTATCCCACACTGCTAAAAACACTATTAGGACACACATATTTCACTAAAAAGTGTAAATTGGTTGTTTTTGCGTTATTTCAAGCAAATTCATACTTCCGGTTTGAAACGAATTTTTGAAGCTGCGTCACGATCATGACATAATAGCGTTGTATTCCAGCGTGCAGACTGGGTGTCTGTGCCAGAGTGTGTCTTATTACTTGTTACAGTGTGATGCATTAATGCATGAGTAAGGCTTGGTTCAAACCAATCAGCGCGCTCTATTGTGCAACTTCATTAATATTCATTACTGTCACAGTGTTTAGACGGCAGAGACGCCACATTGTTTTGGCAAAACAAGCGTGAAGTGTTGCTTTTATAGTTTGCTGCAGTTAAGTTTCGTTTACATTTTCTCTCTGTGAGAGCGCAGAGTCACGGATTACAGTGTACGCGACGCTCGACAACAATAACTTACGTGTCTAAGGAGGAACAATGTTTACCTGAGAGCTGTTCTCATCTGCAAACGCTGAGATCCGGATTCGCTTGTAGTCTTCTCTTCATAAAGACGCGGCTCTAGTTGTTGTTGATTGTTCTGTCTCTACAGATTTGGTAAGTGAGCGACCAGTGCTCCTTGTTTATTCAGTTTGTTCGTATCTAACAAACTATTGCACCGAGGGTAAACATGTTAGCACCACAACCAAACTTTAACCTCGTGTAGGGTTTTTAAAGCATTTAGTGACCGGAATAACACGCGGCTTTCTGACACTACCTGCCATGTGCATCTAAGTTTCCGGGAAATGCTGAGTTTTTTTTTCTTTCATTCGCCTTGCGGTATCAAACATTGCATGAAAAATACACGCTTAGAGCAGATCCTCAAATCAAATATCTTGTTTGTCGCGAGGGGCATGAATGAATTTCCTGAATGAAAGAGCCAAACTGCAGTTAAAGTCCACCATTTAATAATTTGGCAAATAATTCGACTACAGGTGTCCATGTAGGTCAAACACCATCACTTTCTCCTGTGTGTGTGAATTTTGACTCTGAAACTCGCGCGTGCCCAAATAGACACTCCCACACCATCCCACTTTTCTTCCTCCGACACTCCCCCCTAAACAGAGCTGGACACGCCCACTTTTCTGACTTTTTCCAAAGTAGAGGTGTGAAAACACCCTGCTGAAACGAGGGGGTTTCATGGCCCTTTAAAATGGTTTCAAAGTCTGGAGCTAGACTCACAGCCGAATGCTACTGGATCACAGAAAATCATCTCCATTGTGTTCAACAAAACAGGAGAACGAAAAGCAATAAAGTGCCGTTTTTTTATGTGTACTCACTGCAGCCTGTATACTAGACCAGGTTCAATATGTAGTGGACTTGCTCACAAGCGGTTGTTGCTAGAAATGCTAATTTAGCATATTAAATAGCCTCTATTATGCATTATAAAAGTCATATTTTGAGTTTGGGGGTGAAAATCAGAAAAATAAAAGGAACAAAAACAGCACAAGGTTGGCTAGACAGTGATATTGTTGTAAAATTGAACTTTAACCATTTATTCCCCACAGCCGTATAGCCATCTCATAGTAATAAGTGTTTAGTGGATGATCAATCCCATCCCATGCATTCTGCTAGTGTTTGAAGGCCTCATATTTGGCAATGTTTTGCATCACCATCGATGCAAACAGGCACAAGATTTTAACCCAAGGCAAATCAACTTTTTTAAAGTTTTTTTTTTTTTTTTTTAAATCAATAGTTTTAAACGCTGTGCAATATCAGATTTAAACCTCAGCTAGATGTTTTCCAAAACCCATAAAAGGAGCTCTTTAATTACTAAATTACCCAATACTTGTGTTATTAGCCAAATCTTACAATTAAATTACGCCTACCCAAACCCTAAACCCAACTATCAGAGCAGCATGGGCCTTACTCAAGTGGGCGTTACAATGTCCGCTATGTGTTGGACCTGATTCAGCATTTCATAGTGCTATAGGCTGCAGTGAGGACATCATGCCATTTTTAAATACACAGCCGAGACATTACATAGTTATAATAAATATAATAATGAGCCATAGTCATCCTGAGCTCAAATAAACAGTGTTGTCTTCTTGTGACAAACAGCCACGTGCCAAAAAGAAGAACAGAATCTGTCGTGTGTCCTATTGTTGCTTACAAAGCAGTCTAAAAGCATATAGAAAGTGTGAGTGGTTTTGCTTTTTCTCTGATCTCTATTAGTGTTCACCACTTGTCTGTATTTGAAATAATTTCTTCTAAATAAACATTAGTATTGCAGTAAATGAAATGAAATTCAGAAATTTATTTTGCAGCTTTAGTAATTCTAGAAGTTTTTGCAATGCATACCTAGACTAGATTAATGTCATTGAACAAAAGATTTTATCTTTTTACCCACAAAATAAAATGTCATTTCCCTAAATATAAAAATGTTTATGTATTATACTAAATGATATTAATAATTATTAGGAGGAGCAGTAATCCACAATGAATACTATTTAGGAGTACTGTTTCACTGCAATACGTACCTTAAAAACAGCTTATGTACAGTTGTAAATGCTTTATCGATACACTTTTATTGGTAAGTTTGAAGTGTTCCAATTGATTTAAGTAACAGGGTCTATTAAAGTGTCTGTCACAAAAGTTAGCATGGATACTATTATTACGATGATTATAAAACTGCCTAAACAGTGAAAAAAGTTCATTTTTAAGCCTTTTACGTTTTTTTTATTTTATGCCAGAAAACTTCATTTATAAACGATTATGAAATGTTCTTTGCGATATAAAAAGTTTTAACAGTAATAGTAGTACAAGTTGCAAAACAACTTCTTAAACAATTATGTACCTTTTTTAGTTAGTCATGAGAGAAAAGATGAAATGTCATTGCAAGGGGAGAGAATGCGACGGCACAAAAAAGTGCATATAATTTTATTTAAAATACTGCAATCCTTCATAAGAAAATAAGAATGATCTGCTTTGATTTCATGTTCATTTTGATGAATCTGTAAACCCGTCTAAAATGGTTCCTTGATGTCAATATTTTTTTAGGGGGGAACTTTTTTTTTTTTAAGAGTATCAGACTTGTCACGCATATGATGGAAGGCTGTGGAGAGCTGCAGCGATAAGCATTGTGCTCTTGTGCTGCATATCCTCCTCCGCTGTGTGAAGGGAGCGCTAATGAAGCATGAGCTTATTCTCAAGTGTACTGCAGTCGCAAGCAGGAGGAGCTTCAGCTAATGCATCCACCGCTCAGGAAGCCCCGCTCTGGGAGGGGGAGAAAGAGCTGTGTCAGGTTAAAGCTCCACGTTATCAGTCATGTATCAGATAACAGTCAAATTTCAAGGCGAAAGTGATCGTCAAGAATAGAGTGCAGCAATCGTCTGTGCATGGATGACAGTCACTGTGCAGTTTTATTCACAGTTGGTTTATTGCATGGGAAGGTAATAAATGGAGCAAACCACACGTTGGGTTTTGCAGGAAACAGCTGAATATTCAAATGATCCAGCCCAGGCATGGTCTTAAAATATCAGATCATTGTGCCCAGTTTATTAAAAGGCATTTTTTTTTGTTTTGGTTTCAAAATGTTGTGGTATGAAAACTTTTTTTTTCCTTGAACAACTTTTTTTTTAAATTTTTTTTATTATATTTAAAAACCTCTTTTTAAAAATGGCTTTTTTGAATGGTTAATAATTTACAGTTTTTTTTAGTTGAGCAACTATTCAAGCATATGATGTACATGTATAATTAATATTTACTTGATTACACCACATATGGGGTTGGATGATTAATCGAAAAAAGATCACAATCTCGATTTAACCCTACACACAATCTTAATTCTACTTTTCTACGATTAGCCAGTTATATTTTCAAGGTCAGTAGAGGAGCGTAAAGGCTTCACAATTGTTTTATATACATTGCTCAGCATCATGGACACCTCCATATGGTGTCGAAAGTGTCACACACTGTATTTATAAGGTATAATTCACCCAAAAATGACATTTCTCTCTTAATGTAATGTTGTATTCATGGCCACGAAAATCACACATAAGCTGACGCACTGTTTACTACTGCGAGGACGTGCACAAAATGTAGTTTTTTAACCAACAGTAGACCTAAACATAGGCCTAATATCATTATTGTTGTATTACAATATGTTTGAGAATAATAATGGCCTACTCATTTTAATCTTTATTTAACATCTACAGAATCATGAGAAAATCGTGATCTTGATTTTAAGCAAAAAAAAAAAAAAAACGTGATTCTCATTTTAGCCAGTATTGTGCGGCACTAACCACAAGTCATTGGAATTGAAATCTTTTTAAAGATATAAAGATGCTCCCAAACCTTGCAAAATACAGAACAATGTTTGTTTTCAAACAAGTTTTTAAAAACAAATGTTCTTCCGTTAATTGTTCATTGTCACTGACCCACTTATTGGATTTGTTTTGTACATTTCAGAGATATAGAGGCTTGTGCAATGTCGCAAATAAACTTTAGTGTTGCTATATACACTGTCTGTGCCTTTTATTTGTTTTTGGGAGCAGTATAACGTTGGATAAGGCTTAAAGTTAAAACCACTTTCATGCAACATGATGTTTTATTTCACCTCTAGTTAAAACAGTGAGGGAAATATTTCTGTCCTGTGTTTTTGAACTTTTTTTTGTTTGTTTGTTTGTCTTCCTCTATAGATATCTGTTGGGCCGGGGGGTAAAGCGTAAGCTGAGCACATGTGAAGACCCAGCCCAGGACTTGCCATATCCTCAGCAGAGGCAGCTGGTGCTGGACCTGTGTCTAGACAAACTACAAAGCTGCCAGCGGCGAGCGGAACCCAGCCTGCACCGTTCGGTCCTCCTGGCCAACACTCTCCGCCAGATTCAGCAGGAGATGAGACAGGAGGGGGAAACCTGTTTGCCACCAGCCGTACTCGGGCCCTCTCTTCCTCACATCCAGACCCCACGCCACGTCCCAGAGCTGCCACCCGTGCCCTTAGACTGTCCTGCACCTCTAACCGGTGCACTGTCCCCTTCATTTCCCCTTATGACAGCTGATGAAGAGGAGATCCAGTTGGGTGGCACTGAAAATGAGACTCTTCTGCCATCCCTCGCTGGTGAAGACAACACAAAGTCGTCAGATTTGCTTTTTGGCTCATTTGAGATTACAAACTCCACCAGCTACTTAACAGACTTGGCATTAGATGACATCTTTGAGGACATCGACACGTCCATGTATGACTCCTCTGACATTTCTGTTCTCGCGGTTCCTGCACAGAGAAGCGGCGGGGTAGACGATGGCCTCAAGAGCCTTTCCAGCTGCAGCTCCAACAGCAGCTTACAGCTCTGTCTCACAGACCTCAACGACCTGGACCACATCATGGAGATCTTGGTGCGCTCCTGAGCTCCAGCTCGCACCACAGTGTCCTCGTTCAGCCATCTTGATGTTTTCTATGGGAAATGAGTAATACGATGTGTTTTTCTTTTTTAAAAAACAAATATTTTATCTATTTTTATACAAAGGACTGATATATTTATATAAATATATATAAGAAATGGAAAAACTGCCTGACACACTCTCACTGTAGGATAAATGCACATTTTTAAGACTCTTCAGATGGTCAAGCTGACGCTGCCATCCTTCATATTTAAGCAAATCAAGATATGAATATGCAGGGACTTCGGAATCAAAAACAAAGTATTACCATTGACACTTATTTATAATGGACTCAGATGTATTTAAAAGGAGGATGGCATTGAAGGAAAGTGGACAGGGATGGACACTTCGTAGCTTTTGATGAGCTAAATGACTTTTTTTGGTGATCTCCACTGTATTCTGAAGCATTACATTTACTGTCAGTAATTACGATTATCAGATCATGTCATGCACATGCAGCACTCACACTACCTCTCAAGATACCAAGAGCTCTTTCTCTATACAAAGACTGTCATTGTTACGAGTATATTGTAATGGTTTCTCTCCAGTAACTTTCAAAAAACAAAACAAAAAAAAACGCTGATTGTTTTATAAACGGGAAAGCCTCTCCTCAAGTGGTAGAACTCAGTCCAAAGCTATAGCTGTAGAAGAAAGGCTTTTTTCTCGATCTTTCTATTTAAAAACGTTCTTTCCGCAACATTTCTGATTCGTTTGGTTTCAGAATGATCTGTCGCTTGTGTAAAAAAAAAAAAAAAAAAAGTGATATATTTTTTCGAAACGCTTGGAATTAAATGCTATTTCTACTTCTCACGTACATGATTGTCAGACACACAGCCACCGTCGAATCCCTCGTATGAACATAGTGCCTACAATGGAGAATGAAGACTGCCGACGATGAACTGCACACTGTGGACCTGCACATAGACTTGCCTGGGTTTCCTGCTCTACGCCCCACATGGGTCGTTTGCCGCTTTTCGAGCACTCAGCACGATTCTCTGTCCTCTAAAAAAAGCCATTACCCAAATGTGGGTCCACATCTTCTTTCTACTGTCCTTCATTTTGATCTACACTGCAAAATGCTGTTGTTGGATGTCTATGGATGCCTCTTGTACTGTGGTCTCCAAGACCACAGTTTATTTTGAATGTCCAAGCTTGCGTCTCACCTGCTTACTTTTCATGAGTTTAAGGCCTGTAATAACTTGGGTTGTTAGACACTGCTGAAACACAAAATGCTAAGAGTATTCATTTTTGAGCTGTATTGAACATCAAGTTGCTGCAATTGTATTCGTAAAGAACCACGAGCTGCGTTCTGCATGAAGACAGAGCAGAGACAAGGGGGAGGGGAAGAACTAGAGAGCGAGATTAAGGGGGGAGTTAAAGCAAACAGCTCCTGTCACGTGGAGAGCCCTGCTAGTGCTGAACATTACATTGAGAGTTTGACAACAGCTGGTGTGTGTACGCTCGCATTGGTGCACTCTCAACAAGCCCCGCCCTCAGCGAGGCCCAAGGGGCTCCGTGCTCCTCCCGACCAATCGTTTTGATTCAAGGGAGGAGCTTTGCTCTCTGCCTGCTTCATGTTGAATAGAATAACAAGTGGAAGCTGTTTGCTCATGGTGGAGTGTCCTAAGACCAGGCATATCCAAACTCTGTCCTGGAGGGCCGGTGTCCTGCAGAGTTTAGTTCCAACCCCAATCAGACACGCCTGAACTAGCTAATCAAGCTGTTTTTAGGTTTACTAGAAACTTCCAGGAAGGAGTGTTGAATGAATTTAGAGCTAAACTATGTAGGATGCTGGCCCTCCAGGACCGAGTTTGGACACCCCTGCTTTAGACAGACGTTTACTGACTTGATAGTCTGAATTTGAGTTCATTTTTAGACATTCCAACTGAATAACAATGAGATATATATTTAATTATAATTTATGTATAATTTAATATATGATTTTACATTAAAATACTAATTACAAAGTTCTAAGGGGGCTGTAGGGAAGGGCTTTTTGTTATTTGGTAGAAACTGACTTGCTCGTTCCCCTTTTAACTCAGGCTCTCAGATGCCCCGCCCCGCCTTCTTCCCCTCACAAGACACAGAAAACCAGACTCTTGTGAAGTTTACACTCAGATTTTAGGAAAACATGCTTGCGAAACCAGAGAAAGTAAAGGGTGAGACCCTCGGCGTTCCAACAGCAGCCGGCTTTTAATGCTGAGAGCTGTGGATCTGATGAGTGTGTAGCTTTTTTAAGCTTTGTAAGCTTGATCAGTTTGTTTCTTTTGCTTTTTATTTGTGTTGTTTGTGTATATATATATATATTTGTATTTATACTTTTTGTTGTGTTTGGATGTTTTTTTTTCTTTGTTGTTGTTGACTGAAGATCATGAGATAATATATTGCTTTTATTTAAGAGTGAAATATGATCTGTAGACCTTGGTCTTCAGGAGGGTGTTATTTGTTTTTTTTAAGTGTGATTTGTACTTCACCTCCTCCTCTTCTTCTTAGTAATAATGTGTACATAGATGATGCAGAATTATCAAAAGATGTTTTATCATTGAAATTATTTGTAAAGGTTTTAATCTGTGCTGTTTATGAACCGAATGGGATCTTCTTCATGGTGTGTTCACTTCTCTTTGGACCAGGCAGTAATTTAGGCAGCTTTTTGTTTTGTTAAAGAGGTTGAATACATCAAGGGGTTTTTGCAATTCTCGTCCTCTTTTAAATGTAATGTCTCCTGCTGCTTGATTCTCTTTTTGTTCCACGATAATCCACCCCAAGATTTTTTTAAACTAATGTTCATTATGATTCAGCCTGTGCATGGGTTGTAGTAATGCACAGAGCAGCAATGAAAAGTGGTTTACATTTACATTGTAAACTTGTGAACAACTTTACTCCAATAACGTACGGTATGTTTGATGTACCGGTTGCACAGAGAATAGCGTAAGCAGCACGGGTTTTATTCTCATGGTCCTCAAATTTGCTTGGTTGTACGGCACAAAATAGCAAGCTTTAAACATCTCTTCATCTTGTTAATTTGGCAATTTTTAAGCAAATTTTATTTTAATTATCCTGATGAAATTGTAATATCGGAAACCTCAATGTCACTTTCGTCCCAAGTGCAATATGAAAATATGAACATAAAGCGCTGTCTTGCCTATTGCAAATGACACTATGTAGTGAGCCTATATAACTTTGAATGAGTACATGGCTAGATGTTTGTTTTGCTATTATTGACCTTTCCTTCTCCCAGAAACTGTTCCTGTTGCTCTGTTTTTGACCAGAGATTCGATGAGGTCTGTAAATAATAAAGCATTTTCTTTTGCAGTCATATTCTATGCAATACATTGTAGCAGGTCAGTATGTCAAATAAAAGAAAAATGGAAATAGAAAGGATTCCTGTGTTTATTTACTATCTAAAGCAAGTCAAGCTTACGTTTATGGTAAAAAGAAGGACGGACTGTAATGGAGAAGGCAGTGAAAAATATACCAAAGATACAGTTTAAGTCAGAAATATGAAACCCCCCGAATTATTATCCCGTTTATTACCCCCCCCCCCCCCCCCCCCCCAAGTTTCTATTTAACGGAGAGATTTTTTTCCAACACATTTCTAAATATATTGGTTTTAATAACTCATTTCTACTAACTGATTTATTTTATCTTTTTCATGATGACAGTAAATAATATTTGACTAGATATTTTTCAAGATCTTTTATACAGCTTAGTGACATTTAAAGGTTTAACTAGGTTGATTAGGTTAACTAGGCAAGTTATTGTATAACGATGGTTTGTTCTGTAGGCTATTGAAAAAATATACTGCTTAAAGGGGCTAAGAATTTTGACCTTAAAAGGGTTTTTACAAATTTAAAACTGCTTTTATTCCAGCCAAAATAAAACAAATTTAACAAAGACTTAAAATAAAACAAAGACGTTCTCCAGAAAAAAAAATATGATCCGACATACTGTGAAAAGTTCCTTGCTTTGTCAAACTTCATTTGGAAAATATGTTAACTAGAAAAAAACATTTAAATAATTCTTATTTGAACTGTAGATCTTGGACATACTTTGCAATATTAGACGCTTTATACCTATACCCTGCCCCTGCTTTTTTTATGTCATTTTGGCAACATATAAAGGGCAAAACTGGTACAAGGGCTGCTCTGTATTTTAATGTGATGAAAATATTTTAAAAGTAGGAGTTTACCTCATAGGCTTTACAGCAGAGAGCGTGAATGATGAAAGCTATTACCCAAAGCCACTGGCTGGTGTACAGGCTGGCCCATGGCATCAATGCAGAGACTCGGCTGTCACTGGTCCTACAAGTTAATACGAGTTAATACGAAAGTTACTGTTTGACAACTGTTTAACATTCGTAAAATAAACTAGAACATTTTATATTTTTTTGATTTTTTTAAATCCAATTTGTAATGGAAAACACCAACCGTTTTCTTCATGTTCATTGAATTAGACAAACATTCTGGTGTTTTACGTTGTCATCAAATTTTAAACATATTCACTCTTTATTTATTTGTTGTGTTCCTAAATACAAACATTAATAATAAAAAAACGTTTTATACACTATATTTTCTTGAATATTTAGGCCTAACCTAAAATAAAAAGTTAGTGTTCAAAGTCGTGATACAAAGCAAAACAGCCTCAAATAAACTGCAATGTCTCAGTGATTTTGCACCCTGATGTATCACATATAGCCTGAATTCAAAAGTGTTGTTTGCTTTGTTTTTCAATCTACTTGTTTAGCATTTGAATTGGAGGCCGTCAGCACTTGGATCAAGTTCCTTTTAACAAACAGATCCATTAATAATGCAACAACATGTATGAACAAATCTGCTGACCTCAGAGAGTCCCAGACATCTTTCTCTTTTATGTCTTTCTCAAACAATAGGCTGATTTAAAGAAGTTATTGAAAATGGCATTTTCTTCCCCTCAGACTTTGGTTTCGGTGGGCAGAGGTAGAGCCAACCTAACTGCAGTTTAGCATATAAAGGAGGAAAACAAACCATAAACAAAAATATATTATAAATTATATTAAAATATTGTTTTCATATAGTGTAATTTTTGTAAAAATGATTTAAGAAAAAATACAAAATAAATATATATAGTTTTAAAAAAGTAATTGTCTTGTTTCATTACAATTATACAAAAAAAAAATTTTTTTTTAATTTAATTTAATTTTTAATGATTAGCCTGTTCATTCATTTACAACCTTCCCGATGTGGCCTACTCACTGTATCAACGCTATTTTATGTAATGACTTTACATAATATTTGATGTTGCATAAAAAGCAAAACTATGCATTTTCTTCCTGTTGAGCTGGTCTGACCGAGTGCATGAGATGCTCACCTGTCATTTTCCTCTCAATAATTCATTTGATTTTCTATGTTGGTTGGGGAAGAAGGTTTGATCAGGTTGTACTTATTTACACCATCAGTTATTTCTTCTTGCTCTTCAACTATAATTTACTCCATGCATTTCAAATGATTATCATTTTTATACAACATATTACTATCAAACAAGGGTATTATAATGTATCAACCATAAACAGCCTTCCAGACAACA